GAAGAGAATAAAACAAGATTCAAATCCTACTGCTTAGTCTCGATGGTAAATTTAGTATCTGCTTGAATCTGGAGGATTTACTTTTGTTATCCATTCACAAGGTTACCTGGTTTATGCCAGGAGGCAGCTTAAGCAGAGGATGGAATATTTGCAGGTTATGTACTTCCTTTTTCACATGTGCTGTAAGGTCAGTATGTATCTGCAGGGAGTGAGAGAAACAAATTCTCTCTTATTTTAAAGTTTATTTTGACAATGATTTGTAGCTTGATTCTCAATTATTCCAGTTTCCTGTCAATGCAGCTTTACTCATGTCAGGTAAGTTATCTCTAACTGATACAGAGCAGAGATCACAGGCTATGATGCCTGGCATATTTTGCTCTAGGAGAGATTAGCCATTCTCTACGATCAAGTTCATAATTCTCACTGAAATAAAACATGTACAGTGGTCGTATGAAATTTTTAAAGATTTTTCACTCCCTGGAACTCTTTCATAGAAAGCTGGACAAGACTTGGAGGCTACTTTTGCTGAAAATAGGACAAACATGCTACGTAACCCTCTCAGGAGTATGATCTCAAAACACCAAATGCAGTTCTCCGTCAGGCACATAAATAATACGTCTTGAGAATTCTTCCCTCCTTGCAACAGCAATGGATTATTGTATGGCACTGAGTTTTGCATTTTATGAGCACTATTAGAACAGTACATTTGGCACGCTCTGGGGCACAGTAACTACTGAGGAAAGGTGACAAGCCTGTGGACATTCATCTGGGTACAGAGCTCAATCAATGGCACAGTTTCACAGTCCTGGCCCAGATCCTTCAGTAAAATTAGGAAGGTATATATCTAAGTACTTATTTATGCTTCTGCCCTATTTTAAAGAAAAAATGAAAGGTCACTGCCACCTATAGACAAAACTGAGTATCAGCAGAACTGGTAATACACACATACAAATAGTATCAAACTGGCAGAGTTTCAAGTTGCCGAGCAGGTGTCACAGCTATTCACTTCTGCCATCACATCTAGAAATTGCTGCTGTAAAGACTGTTGCATCTGATTGCACCCATGCGTGGCCCTAGAGTTGCATAAATAAGTCCAGCTCTGTCATTAACATGAAATGGTTACATTTTCCCCAAAGTGTTCAGACCTCTAGTTTATATGAAAAAATCCATTTTTCTCTCATTTGAAACACTTTCCGTTGAAGCTAAAATTATTAACTGTGGCACCGAAGACAGTTTCTGAAAAATAAGGGGCTCCCATAAGGCTCTCATCTGGCGTCTTTTGTCATCAATGCATTTACGAAGACCACAATTTTGAACATGGGCTGCCAAAACCCTGCACTATCTCTTGGGATGCTGACCTGGTCTCTCCGTTAGCTGCTTTGCTGTCTCGGTTATCAATCATGGTAATTTATTAGCTGTACAGCCACCAGGCAGGACCTATTTGTGCCCTTTGTTGTATGTCTGAAAAGCACAGAACTGATCTCTGTAGTTAGCTGTGAGTATGGGACAAACCTCTGCCAGATCCAGAGATGTTGCTGGCAAGATGTTTGTTTTATGAGAGAAGGTTTGTCAAGATTTACAGGGACAAGGCAATTTTTGGGGATTGAGAGGGGAAAAGAGATGATGCTGATGCAAGAACACTATTTTCAAAATGAGAAGAAAACCCTTAAAAAGTCAAGAGGAACTGGACTAAGCTTATTCTCATCTTTGGGCTTCTTTTCTAGATACAGATTTTTTAATTAAGTTTCTAGGATATTGTCTTTGCAGGGAGCTCATTCAGACCAGCTGGAATGCAGCCCAACTGGTTTAAAAAGGAACATGAACTACCAGCCTCCAGATCAGACACAGCTCTGAAACCATTCCTTTCCCAAATAATGCTTCACTGCTTCTATTGTAATGCAGAAAATAATCCAAAAGAAAAATTGTATTTTTTAGATTTTTTTTTATTTTTAATGTTATATGAACCATAGTGTGCCCTGAGCATGAGCTCAAGGCTTGGTAAAATTCTCCCTTTTCTGTCACACTCAAAACTCATTGTTTTGGTCCTGGCAGAGTCGTAAAAGCTTTGAGAACAATGACAGAAAATTACAACAAAAATCCATGTTCACTGTGAGACCTAGCATGCATTAATTCATGCAAAGCAGCCTGCACGGTGGCCACAGGGCAAGGACTGGATCCTCAGCTCTTCAGTCCACCCCTGCTCTTTATCCTGCCTCTTGGTGAACAGGTAACTTGGGGACATGCCAGTGGCCAGCAAGAAAGGCAGAAGCTCCTGCTCTTATTCTCGTGGAGCCAAGGAAAGAATAATAATAGGACAGAGTTTTAGAAAGTCTCCTTACCTTCCTTCAGTGCAGCTCTCGGTTGCTCTCCTGCAGAAAAAGATAACTCAGACACGTGTTGGGTGTTATGAAACCAGGGGACAAATGCACCTGAGCATTGGCAGTGGCTGAGGAGGAGAAATGGACACACAATAGACAGTAGTGAAGGGACAGGAGAAGGAAGGATTGACATGACTCACCTAGAGCAAACAAGAAACACCCAAGATCAGTTTGAACAGCAACCTGGCAGCTGGCCGTGCATCCAGGACATGCAGAATTACAGTCCTTAAGGCTCTAGGGGCAGTTTTTAATACCATTCTTTCAGCCACTCTCTATTGTAGCCAAATGGGAAAAGCAAAACAGTTCAAACATTCACAATCTGGGCTTTAAGGGAAAAAGCCAGTGCACCGAAGGTGAAAATTTATACCAGGAACTTAAAAGCTGAAACAAAATAAGCCAAGCACTTGCAGGAGCTCCAGAGATCACGTAGCACAAGAGCACACACAGGACTCTACTCAAGCGTGGGACAGAAGTGTCAGAAGAAGAGGAGCAAAAACCAGCCCCCCAGAAAGTCAAACCAACGGCAGTAGCACAGGTTACCTGTGGGGGTGGTGGATGGGGAACCCAGCACCCCTGGGAACCGGAGCTGGTCTGAGTGAGGTGGTGCTCGCCCAATCCTTGCAGCTCTGCC